TGTTGTGTTTTACGCTCCAATACGTGTAACATCTTCCACAAAAAACTGTATATTGTGATTGTTGAGCAGTGCAAGTGTTTCCATGTTTTTGTTGTGGATGCCTCTGATGATGGCTCTTTGTGAGCCGAAACATGTAAGGCAAATGTGAGAAAATGGTGACAAGAATATATATTGTTACACTCGACGGAGGTTCTATTGATAATTGGTGATTGATAGTGTAACGGACCAAAATGAAACAATTCAAAACAGTAATGAACCTTCGGGTTTCATAAAATGCTGGGAAATTCTTGAGTAGCTGCAGAATTGGCGGCTCCTCCAGAAGGGCTCAGCTCCGTGAGTGAGTGAGTAAGTAATTAAGTAAGATGTATACATAGCAGCCTCCATAGTCTAGAGGTAACGTTCCCACCTCATGACTCGTGGTACACGGGTTCAAATACCCGGCGGAGGTCGTCGAATTTTTAAGGGCGGAAAAATTCAGGGAATAAGTCCTCCGGGAGGGACTTTAAGCTGTGTGTCCCATGTCGTGACTTTACGGCATGTAAAAGAACCTCATATCCCCAAAGGGGATCACTGAGCCAAATTCCAGGACATTTCCCACCCAACAATAGTCTCTAAGGCCTCTGATAGATGGGGGAAGCATTACGGATACCGCTAAGCAAGTGGCCAAACTCGCTTGCTCGGCGCGACTGATGGTACGCACCATTTATTGGTAGGGTATAGAGACCGGTAGAATATCATAGAGGGAAGCACAATAGATCAAACTGGTCGCGGTGCATGGGGAAACCCACCCTCTCTAAATAACTAACTAACTAACTAACTAAGATGTATACATGCAAGATCAGTACCACTCTTTTATTTGCCTCACATCTTGTTTGAGATCTTCTCGTAAAACTTTGTACACTTCTTCTATTGTCGAGCGTGGGGCCTGGCTATGTAACACCTTCATGGTCTCCACATACTCAGGAGGGACTAGGTAATCCAGTGCTCCAATATGCTGTCCCACTTTGATGTAGACACCTCGGTTGATGCAACACAACTCAAGAAGTTTCTCTGCCGCCTTCCTGTGAACCTATTGTGAAAACATTCACACACACATCACATTCTGTTGCATTTATAAAGTAAATCCCCTCTTCCAATAAATATTAATGGCTACAATGATGGCTTCATTCCATTTACTATTTTGCTTTCAACATGTTATAAATCTACTCTTACTTCAGCCCTCATGCCCTCTCTATAATCCCTCTTCTGGCATTCTGTCCAGATAAGCTATAGATATCGTTCACATGGCTTGGGTCTGAGGTGCTCAATGAAATATAGGTGAAAGATATTGTGACATGGTGACAAAGCCAAATTAGTGGAGTCGGAGCCAGCCACCCAATGCCAGGCAACAGCTTGGTAAACACCACCTAAAGTTTGGAACAGTAGAGCCAGACAAGAAACTACCCATTTTTTTTAGCCAATAGCTACGCACGTTCCAAGGGTTATGCTGTAAACAAATACACGGCAATAGATTTGGTTATAATTGTAATTACAATGGTTTCCGACACAAGACCATCTCAAAGGGCAGAACAGAACCCTTCACGGCAGTGTCTCCTATCATGGCCGCCTAACAGTTATAACAAGGAATGAGCCATTAGTGGGAAAGAGTCCAAGTTGAAGACTAGAGGCTAGACACCAGTGCAAGATCCAGACAACAGTGAGAGATTTGTTATCAAGGAGTTCAATATGTGAAGTATTGTAATCAAGTGTAACTGTAATACAGACATCCAATAAATCCAATCATCAAATCTACAACCCACAATTATCAGTTATGCGTAACCACCTTCCCACCCCCGCAACACATGACAATATATACTTGTTTCACTTGGTAAGTATAATTTGATGTCACGTTATGTTGGCAACCATGAAGTCCTACTGCTCCCATTAGAGCACAACATAGGGCAGTGAATAAAAGAAAAGTACAAGAAATATTAATATTTTTGGGCATTCTTCATGTAGTAAAATGAACACCATGTGTGCAGTTTATGCGTGTCTGTGTGTGACTTATGGCTAGTATCAATGCTTAAGAGGCTGAACAGTTTCATTCTAATTTGGTTTGGAAGTCTTTCACTAGAATCTGACAGGTATTTTTTTTTTTATTATTGCTAGTGGGGTGGGACTAAGTCCCTTGTACTGCAGCCACTCCTGGCCTATTGTACCAGCCCCAGATGATAGGTGAGGGTGATTGTGGAGCAATTGGTGGAATGAAGATTGGCAGGGGAAACTGAAGTACTCAGAGAAAACCTGCCCCAGCTCCACTTTGTCCACCACAAATCCCGATTGACGAGACCAGGATCGAACCCAGGCTGCTGCGATGGGAAGCCGGCAACTAACCGCTTGAGCTATGGCACAATTTGACAGGTAATTCCAATGTGGGTTAAAATTGGATATAAAAAAAGAACACTTTACATGACGGCAAGCACTTGAATGTGTACACATAACTCGAGAATAAGTGAACTGAGTTTCATAATAATTTGACAATGGAGGTTGCTGCATAAATCTGTTGAAGGTCATGTCCATGTGTCATCTAGTGTCAGCACCTAAACCACTTTTCCTAAAATTTTATATGGGAGATTTTCATTAAAAGTTGTCAAAAATTTCAGATTTTCAGCCATATTAACACATAATAAAGTCCATTTCACTTTCGGTCATAAATGGACTTTATTATCTACATCAAAGATCATTATTCAAATATTATAAACAGATCACAAGTACTCTTAATAAATTGCAAAGAATGCCTTTGGAAATTCTACGTACAATATAGACTACACCTTTTCTAATTTTGTTTGTATCACTTTAAAGTTGTCTGAATGGAATAATGAAATACAAGATCAAAACAATGCATCCCTCCATCCTACGCCACTTTATCAAAAATATGTTTATTTATTATGTAAGAATTAGGTAACATATATTCAGTTGCCTTGTTTCTCAAATGCTCATTGAAATATATGCAAGAATAATGAAAGTGCAAACCATCCAGGTCTTTGAGCACCATGCCCTGAAAGTATACAGAATGTCCCCAAATTTGTAACTTCAGTGCTACACACAGGCACATAGTGTCAAGATCCTGCTGCTTTGTCAACGGTAAATTTGTATACTTTTCTCCTTTCACTGCCACTGTGGAGCATAGGGCTGATTTCTCAGTTTCATGATCATTCTTACAGATGGTAGGACTCCTTGGATGGGTGATCAGCTCATCACAAGGCCTCTACCTATGCACAGGACAACACAAACACAGAACAAACATATACACATACGAAACATCCATGCCTTGTGTGGGATTCGAACCCACTATCCCAGCTTCGGAGGAAGCGAAAGCAGTACATGCCTTAGACCGCTACCGTGACCAGCTTACTGATATATATGTTAAAAATTCTTAGAGTCAATTTCTACAACACGAGTTAAAGATAAGATTCATAAAATGAAAAAAAAAAAAATAGAAAGAAAGGAACATAAATATAATTGAGAAATGCAAATTCCCAAAGAACACATTTTCAAAATATATTTATTCTACATATACTTCCCATGACTTATTCTTCATTACTGTAGACCTGACCAAGCAAATCATGCATTCTCTCCACTCATTTCTGACCTTTAGGGATGGAACGAAGACATGGCCTACCATGAACATTCCAATCCTGCATACATCCCTCCATACACAACTGATAATCCTGGTCCTTGCCCCCCCCCCCCACCCACATTCAGGAAAACTGTAACCATATTCATTATTAAACAATATCTTACTGATGACTTCAGCTCCAAGAATTCTTTGGAAGAATGATCTAGCTGGCTGCGATAAAGGGTCTGCTTATAATAAACAGCTATATTGAATACCTGTAAAATAAGAACAGTACACCTTATTTAACAGCATACATTAATGGACAAGGTTCAAATGAGGCAGCATCTTAACAAGTATTAACTAACGAAAAACAATACTCTAAAGCACAACTTATTATGGACCATAAAAGATAATATGAAAGGTTACTTCAGTCACTAGTATCAGGATATTCCATTTCTGATCTTTATGTACAGCTTTTTCTTCAAACAAAGCAGCTGCATTACAGCTAACACATACGATTTATACTTAAAATCATGGCAGGAGGTCGAGCCGACACTGAAGTTTATGTGGCCTTTGTTCGTCATTTCACATAGAGGCCAAGATAGCAGGTACTATCTTGGCCTTCACCAACTACTAAATTTCTACCCTACAAGCCTTCCAGCACACTTAATTACTGGTTTTCTTACACTGTGATAGCAATATTCATTTGATCTTATGCAACAAGTAATTGCATATGGCTGCGCATGGGAGCAGAATGCGAAGCAAAGCAGAAGTGTGGTGTAGGTAACAATCACAGCTACCAGAGGATTTGCCTTGCATATAGCCATGCAGCAGACTGACCTGCTTCACTGGTCTGCCCAGTGTTCAAACAAATGGACGGTCCATGTCTGTGACTCTGCCACAAAAAAACAGGATAGTGTCTCTGACTGCATGCCGTTACTCACTGTGTGAGTTATATATATTGCATGACATCTCTGAAGCCCTTGAGTTTTCAGATTGTATTTGTTCTTTATACTTTTATTTATTTTGGTTATGGGAAAGAAAAGGTAAAATTATCTCATTTAGTCCTGGCAACAAAACCTGGCAATTATAAAAGTACTGGGATGATTCCAGGCAAAGTAAAAATCTCAAGAGTAATAACAAAATTTACTACACAATGAGAATTATAAAAAAATCATATGATGTTGCAGCATTATTTGTCTACGGACACTATAGTAAAATATACGCCAAGTATCACATTTCTGAATTTTATATCAGCATGCTACTCACAGTTACTGCAGCTCTTCCAAGACGAACAATACCCACTGAATCAAAATTATACTGATTGGCCTTCAAAGATGCAAGGGTGCCAATTGTCACCCCTGTGACAATACCATACTTCAAGAGCCGTTGTGCTGGCCACATTATTTTCTTTCCAACAAGAACTTTAGTCACACATTCTGAAAAAAGGACATTACTTATTTATTTATTTCGTCTCTATAGATCATTGTTACGTGATATCATATACTACTATATGATGTAATTATGACTGTCATCACTCCAGATTTACACCAAAGTATCCAAGGAGTAACAATCTAAAATTCTCTACTCTGAAGATAATTATCACAGAAACTCAAGATAAATGTTTATAAAAATTACATGCAACATTTAATGGAAAATAGTTATTTGCTGAAAAATTCAAAGAATTGATTCATGAACCTGTGTAAATTTGTACTCACTGGTTAACATATACAAATTCAGTTTATTTTCAATTTCGGGAATAAAGTTACTACACACGAATTACGGGCCATTTTACTCTTAATCAAACCTGACAAAATCGTTTAATTCATATTAATAGGACTCTACCATAAAGAACAAGTGAAAGCTCCCTGCACACTTTAAAGGTGTTATTTTTATGCAGAGAGCGTATTCTTATCCCATACTTTCCTCGTACTGCACTTCATAGCTCATATAGAAAATTACATTTGTCATTTACCTTTCCATACTAAAATGTTTAATAACAGAAGGAAACATGGGTCATTTATAACTTGACGGTACACAAAGTTTACATGCTTTTCTTCATACTGCAATAGTTCAAGATTATCACACACAGTCGTTATTTGTAAAATCTTCAAACGATGGCCATGTCACCCACATTTGCAATCAGTGCCTTCACTATTACAATACGAAAATGAGTTTGAGGTCAAAATTTACTAACCTCTTTGACCGTGACCTATTGTACAGTGTCGTAATTTCTTCCGGGTAATATATAGCAACAACTCACTCACAAACCTCACAAAGGTGCCACCACGCAAACCCAATCCATTATTAAAGGAATAACAAATTTCCGCACTTCTTACTAAAAAAAAATCCAGTCATACCACTACTCGTAACAATAACAACGCACAAATTCCTTCCATGACGAATTTCCTCACTCACACAATTAACACATCGTGCTTGCCACGCTTGCTTGCCACTATGGTTCAAGGTAGCCAATACCCAAAGCTGAAATACAAAACACCCCACAGGAAGGTCCCCAGATGGTAGCTAAATATCCCTTCTCTTTCGACAAACACAGAAGTAACTGAGCGCTCCAGGAAGCGTCGGCACGGCGGCCACTGATTGGCAAATTGTAGCCTGCCCCGAGTGATTGTGATGATGGAGAATTTGGTGGAATGAAGATTGGCAAGGGAATCCTAAGTACTACGGGAAAACCCGCCCCAGCGCCACTTTATCCACCACAAATCCCACTTGACCGGACCTGGGATTGAACCCGCGCCATAGCTAAAGCGGTTAGTCGCTGGCTTCCCACTGCGGCGGCTCGGGTTCGATCAAGTGGGATTTGTGGTGGACAAAGCGGCGCTTGGGCAGGTTTTCTCAAAGTAGGAGGGTTGGAACTTTAATAGTGGCAACACTGCTGTAGAGAAGCCATGCAACGGAACCAAATAATGTCTCATATACCACAAGTTAGTTACATACCTACCTTGCCTCAGAGTAAATGGACTCTCCCTTCCCACATCACGCTCATGCGCAGTGATGAGAACAGAGCCTCGTGTAGCTGGCGGTCTAACGTAGTGTTCTCACGGTGTTTTTGAAACAGGAATGGAGTTGGATAAAGACTGAATGTGCCAGAGGTCATACAGCATGACAGTGTCATCAAGGTCTTCAAAAGGCCTGGAGGGGTATCTGCATTGCCTTACAGAACAGTGGCAAGATGGGTAAAAGCCTTCAACGAGGGACGCCAAAATGTGGCAGACATGCATCGACCAGGTCGTCCTAGTGTCAGTGAAGAAGTAGATGCTCTTTCCGCATTACTGGAGAGTGATCGACGCCATATGATTCGTGAGCTGGCCCGAGTGACAGGATTAGTGCATACAACTGTGCTTCACATTCTGAAGGAATGCCTAGGCATGAGAAAAATTGCATCACGATGGGTTCCGCATGATTTGACAGAAATGCATAAATGGCAAGCTGTGGCTGATTTGTTTGACTGATGAAGCTGGGAAGTGCTGTACCAGCCATCATACTCTCCGGACTTAAGTCCTTACGACTTTGACTTGATTTCTAAGATGACGGAACCACTTCATGGCATTCTCTTCAGAACTCTTCCAGAGACTCTTCAGCCAGTAGACCACTCCATTCAAACTATCAACACTACAGGCACTGCTAAAGGTATCCTACGACTTCCACATCGCTGGCAATGAGTTGTACACAATGCTGGTGACTACACTGAAGGACATTAAAACTTTGAAACATGCCTCTATTTTGTATCAGTTGTAAATATAAATAGTTGCCACTATTAAAGTTCCAACCCTTGTACTTCGGCTTCAACTGAGCGCTCTTAACATACAGCTCCAGATTAAAAAATTCATGAGTATCATTCTCGTTATTTAATGTAGAATGAAATATTCACAGAATGCACAAATTTAAGGTATCTAAACATTCTATTTCAGAGGTAAAAAATTAAATAAAAACTCTAATTGTATATTAGCAACTTAAAACAAATACTAAGTCACAGACCTGGCACCCAAGTATCACCTCCCTCCACCAAACCTCTATTTGATGCTGTTCTGCCTATATGCATGCTAACCCAATTTAACTAATCCAAATGACGGCAAATGACCAAACACTGGCAATTGTCTGGTACCCATCTAACGTATCATAATGTACCCTAATCTGGCAAAGCTCTATATGAATGCAAACCGGTACGATGCACCAACCTACCTCAATCTGGCAAAACTTTTCCCAGATTGGGCAGTGATTTTATGTGCCAACATAACCCAATCGACACAAACTACTACAGTATGGATGATCAGGTTTAGATCCCCCAGAAGTACAAGATTTTTCTGTTCTCCAAAGTGTCCAGTATGGCTCTAGTTCCCAACCAGCCTCCTATTCAATTTGCACCGGTGGCTCCTTCCCCAGGGTAAAGCGCTCTGGGAGAGAAGCTAATTACTCACCTTCAGCCGGTGCTAAGGTTAAGAATGGTAGACCTTTGTCTTCACTCCCCCATATGTCTTCATGGCAAAGTACTTACCCAATTAAACAAACAGGAAACTTTTACCTTTTACCTGCCTGAATGCACAAATGGATTCACAGTGGTCTAAAGTAATCTAATGCAATTTAACTGAAAATTATACGTTGTTTAATATTTCTCAGCTGCCCTTAGCACCAAAGGGAAACCAGAGTTTCTTAACATGTTGGAACTGGTCCTCATCCAACCAGACTGTAGCTTAGCACAATGTTACCTAAACAAGGCTCATATTAAGACAAAATGTGGAAATAGTATGGCCACACCTTATAGTTTCAGAGGGCTGTCACTGTTAACTTGTAATGCTTGCATTGGAAACATCCTCTGGTTTTGCAACTTCATATAAAATCATTCTTGTAATGAACTCACTACTGTAAAGTGAAGTATCATACTAATCTATAAAGCAATAAACCAGTGTTCCGCCCTACCATTCAGGTTTAAATTTAAACAGATTACTTCTGCAGCAGGTCTAACAGGAATGAGTACCAGGAATATTCTTGAAATATTCTTGGGTATAAGGGTGACCGGTGCTTAAGGCTGACAACCTTGCAGCCATCTATGAGCAGATTGTCTAGAAAATGAGGGAACCTCAACATCTCACAACCCTATGGGCCTCCACGACCTGCTACAGGGATACCTTTACTTTACTTTCCTTTTACTTACTTCTGCAGTGGGCACCAGAACACAGACAATATTTACTGACATGATTTTCCTAGTTCCTCCACTGCCATGATGACTCTCATATTTAATGTATGTTAGGGTATGTATAGGTCAGTTTCCTATTCTGAAGTGTTCATTTTATTGGTCATCATTCATGCAGGAAATTACCAATCTATTTTATCAAATCGCAAAAAATAACACAATTGTCACATAAAACTTTTCCACTAAATGCCACAACACTGCTAAATTATATTCACTTCCCAACATTTACCATGAAATTAGTTCAGTATTTCACACAGAGGACACATTTTAGTCAAATCATAAAGTATTCAGATTGTAAAAAAAATTGTGACACTACTTTATCAAATCACAGTAAAGGCACAGCTTTCCCTGTTAACAGGCCATAGAAGCCAAAACTTCAACACCTTCCCTGGCCAGCAAAATCACCACCAGATTTGAACATCACTGAACTACTCTGGTCCGTTTTGGAGACTAGAGTGAGGAAGACTCCCATCTCCAACATCTCTAAAGAAACATGAAGATGTTTTCATGAAGAATAGTATAAAATTCTGCTAGAGACTGTTTAAAACTGCATAATGAGAAGCTTCATAACTTGTACTCTTCTCCAAGTATAATTAGAATGATCAAGTCAAGGAGGATGAGGTGGACAGGGCATGTAGCACAAATGAGGAAGAGGAATGCATATAGGATATTGGTGGGAAAGACTGAAGGAAAGAGGCCACTTGGAAGACCAAGGCGAAGGTAGGTGGACAATACTGAAATGGATCATAGAGAAATAGGACGGGATGGTATGAATTGGGTTGATCTGGTTCAGGTTAGGGACCAGTGGAGGGCTCTTGTGAACATGGTAATGAACTTTCAGGTTCCATAAAATGCTGGGAAATTGAGTAGCTGCAGATTTGGCTTCTCCTCAAGAAGGGCTCAGCTCCCTAAGCAAGCAGAGACTGTTCAAAACTTGTACAAGTCCATTCCACGCAGAACTGCGACTATATTTAGCGCAGAAGGTGGTCCAACCCCATATTATAAATAAATGCGTGTAGTATCAGTAGTGTTTTTATTATTTTGTACAACCTCTGTACATTAATAACTGTAATTATTTCTTAAAAATCTAATTAGTATATTAAAGTACAGAATAACTGTTAACACCATCCAGAGTGATTCAATTCTTTGATATCTATTGCCTTTACATGTTATGATCAGCTGATCATTTTCAGAAGGCGTAAGATCAACATGTTCAGGAACTACTATTACAAAGTTTGTAACACATACTTAGAAATTTTTATATAAAAAGTTATTTACAATTATTTAGATTAAAATCTTATTAATGTCTAATATTTAAGATCTTGAACTGATATGGTCTGTGTCCTTCTGCCTCTTCTGTTAAAATGGAATGCTGGGGTATTATTTGAAGTCCTCAGAGGTCCTCGTCATATTGATGCCCACTTTTCTTAGCTTGTTATGGTTCTGTATCCTTGTTATGTCTAGATGTTTTCTTTTTGCTGTGTTTTAAGGGACCAGAATGAATGGAGTTAGTTTATGAGCATACTCATAATGAGTAACTGTGCAAAGTATATATTTACAGTGAAGTTTGATGTCAAAAAGCTGATCAACTTCACCAAAAATTATAAATATGGTAACTACAAGCACATATAAAGTTTTCTGAAGAATGTTCGAACACAGAATCTACAGGCTACAAGCAGACTTTTGATAGCAAAATATTTAGAACTAAGTGATTTTTAAGTTACTCTCTTATTCTAAGTACTTAAAAATATAACAGTCCATGACCAGTTCTGTACACGTCATTCTCAATCTACCATTCATAAGCAGTCACATATATCTCTGAAGAAGTGTTGATAAATTATCCAAGAAACCTAAAATTCTATTCCCTCTGCTCTCTCTCAAACCTTTTCGTTGCAACAGCGACCTTCTTCTGCTACATGGCAATAAGCTGCAGATGCTAAGTAACCAGTTTTTGATATGCTATGCTACTTAGTTTGTGTAGTAAGCCATGTACTCAGGATAGAACTCGTTATCACAATATTTCACAACTACATTGCCACCTCTTCCAAGTGTGGTATCACAGGGAGGAGAAGGGAGTATGGTATTATACCATCCCGTGGTCATCATCCTTACCAGGACTTTTGAAAGAATAAGGGCACGCCTGACCCCTACATTCTGATTGCAGTAAGTGTTTGCATAGGCAGCACTGGGTGAGAAACTCACACCTTGTCCATATCTGCCGCGCTGTGTCCGCCTCCAGTCCAAATTTCCCTTAACAA